GATATAGCAAAGACCTTCAGTGCACATCGAGCATCCAGAGGAAGGGAATTCTTCCTGCTGCAGCTTCTTCGCTCTGGGAACACGGGGCTGCTCAAGAGTACCTCAAAAATCAGTCACAAAGCCAGAAACAAAACAGCAGACCAGAAGAGCCTGAGTCTACACATTTGGCAACTCCCAGCCCTTTTCCTTCCTACAATTTCTCTGTGAACACACCTACTGACAGCTCCAACTACTGAAGAAGGTTTCTACCTCCTACTCCTCCTGTCTGCCCGACATTTCTCCTTTTAGAGAGGATTACCCAAATCTGCCAGCTGAATTGCTCATAAGATTGCTCCCTAATCCATGTTTGTAGCAAAAGTAATCACTGCAGAACGATCACAAAAGCAAACTGGGCCGACAGGTGAAGGAGTGCAAATCTCTGGCAGGAGGGCAAGATGCAGTTTTCAGCCAGCACAGCTGCTGCAAGAGGGTGAAGTGCCTACGCTCCAAGTGGAATACATTCACAACGGCCCCCGCTTATTTTTAATCTGTTCTTACCCTTCCAGAGTATTTTTGTTTTCATTCAGTACCACTTGATTTCCTGCCACACTTCAAAAAAGGTATAGTAAATGACTGTAAATATAATCGCACATTTTTGGGGTAATCTGTTTTAGAAATAATTCTTAAATATCTGCCAGCCTACCTGCTTCCATTTTTTTCCACCTATTCCGTGCCCCTAAACTCATTACACAAAGATTTACTTCCCTCTCCCTGCAATAGTTCTGCTTTCTGTGGCTTCTACTGCTTCTCTTCCTTTTGGATCCTCTTTTTACTAAACCTAGCTGTTTTGATGAAACACAGAAAAGAAATGAAGTTACCAGCAGCCTGGATCCTCACTTAAACACTAAGCTTTTGACAGAACGCTACGACATAGCCTCGCTGTACATCAAGTAATTCTTCTACAGACAAAAAGCTTCCACTTTTCAAACACGAAGTCAAACATATAAATATAAAATATATAATACCCCCTAATCTCCCTAGGAATTCAACAACCACAGTACAGACAAATGCAGAATTCCAACGTTTAACACTGCAGGCTTTTTTCTCCAGATCATGATGGTTTCCACATTCACTGACTCCCAGTATTTCTTTACCATTGTTTAACACCAGAAGGTTCCACTTTTCAAACACGAAGTCAAACATATAAATATAAAATATATAATACCCCCTAATCTCCCTAGGAATTCAACAACCACAGTACAGACAAATGCAGAATTCCAACGTTTAACACTGCAGGCTTTTTTCTCCAGATCATGATGGTTTCCACATTCACTGACTCCCAGTATTTCTTTACCATTGTTTAACACCAGAAGGCAGGAGTGCATTTGCAAAATCTGACTGTAAGGTTTAAAAAAAAAAAAAAACATGTGGCTACTCTACTGAAATTCTATTGAAAGAAAAATTGGCTGCAATGAAAGATCTACGCTCAAAACACTCTATTAGATGTGCTGTTCTTCCACTTATGTTTTTTAAAGTAGATCTATAGCTGCCCACATGACAGATTAATATTGTTCCACAGTAGTTATGTGCTTGGCATTACATTTTTGAAGCATCTACAGGCCTTCAGGGCTGAAAGTGTTCACATCTTCAGCAATCTATAATGGTTCCTCTAGAGGCCAGCACTTGCTTCATAATGAAACATGGCTCCATAAATCAGCCTGCAGAAGTGGCACTCGTGTGCGTCACCATCTATCTTAGCAGTTTCTCTGAAGGATGTTGGGTAAAGATCATCTCCCGGCATTGCAACCAGGGAAAGGACCATCACAGTTGGCATTGATAAAGCATGTGCTACTTAAATCTGAAGACACACTAAGTCTATGGAAAAAAAACACATCCTGCTGGTGTTAGTATGCCTCGGGCAGTGGTAGAAGCTTCAGCAACTCATCTTCAAAAGGCAGAGAGCCAGGGCTCTAGAAACCTGCAAAAATTGGCTAAGCCTGCAGACTTTTTTTTTAATATTATTTTTTAATTTATTTTTTTTTATTTTTTAAAGTTGAGCATCTTCAAAGTCTACGATTCTAACTGTAGGGCACAGCAGCTGCCACTGCAGATTTGATCCTCTCAGCTTTTGGCAGCTCTCAACTTGAAATTCTAGCAAAAGAATTTTTCAAGTTGCTATTATTGCCTGTCATGGATTTATAAATATTGTGCACTATCTGCTGTGGCATGGCTCTCATGGGACACCAGTGCATGCCAAAAGCATAACAGAATGAAAAACAGTTCCTATTCTTCAAATAAATGCTAATTTTTTTAACTGTGCTCACACGATGCGTTTGGTGATCAGCTTCAATGGTACAGAATATATATCAGAGGCAAAAGAGCTGATTGTCTTTTCCAGTAGTATTCAGCTGCTACTTTCATTAAGCTTGTTTAATTACATTCCAGATGCTAATTTGCAAGTCGATACCAGAGGGTGCAGGACAGTTTGCCTTTGAATCATTTTTCTGTGATGTGATGGTCTTGAAGCACACCACTACCCTCCAGTAGCCCTAGCAAGATATTCTGACAATTAGTGCAAAGAAAGCAGCATTGATCTTGACAGAAAAATATTAAGCCTCTACCCATTTTATTAAATTAATTTCCAGGAATTTTAAGTTTATCATCAATGCCATTTCATAGCAAGTTTTATGTAAAATACACATAGTATACTTCAGATTTAATTTGTTTTAATTTCAGTAGAGATATCATTTGTTATTTTGTTACTTTACTGGGAAAAAAAAAACTAAACAAAACAAACCACAGGTGACTTTAAGGGTAAATATTTTAAGCTGGCAGCCATAACAGAATATGAAGAAGTGTTGAGCTTTATCACCTGAAACTTTGCTAGTTTAGTCAATACAATTACTAAATTGTTATAACACAATATCTAGTGAAAACAAAGGAAGGGTTAAGGTGCACGCCAAGTCTCAAAGATCTAAATATCTATTTCAACAAATTGGTAGGCTGCATTTCTACATGCTTAACAGTGAATATCTGCTGCCATTTATGGTTGTGTATGAAGACAATTTAATTAAGATGACCTTTCTAAACAGGAAAAGTTGGAGATTTACCAATTTTTAGTGCCTTTTTTGGTTGCTCTTATACAAAGAATGACTTAAAAAACAAGCCTGAAAACTGGCTTAGAATAAGATGAAATTTTTAGTTTCACAGCACAGCTCTGACATTTGTATCTTTGAAAGTGAACTATTATGCTGTAGCTGTTGATTCCAAGGATTTGTAGTCCCTGTTTTCAGTATGAATAGCACACATGCCAAGTGCACAGTCACACAAGAGGCTGGAAAAAAAAGATTCTCTCATTCTTGCAGCAGCACAAGGGGAGAAAGGAAAAAATAGTGGAGATTCTACCTCTACCTAGTGGTTCTTGCTATCAGTTATCTAGTGCAATGCTGCTTAGAAGAAACTTGAGCGCCTGTTAGAAATATCCAGTATTTCTGATAGCATTTCTAACTACACCAGAGGTATATTTACTGGACTAGATGTCCAGTGTCTTCAGATCCTGCCCAAAACATCGCAGCAACACAGGAATCCTGACTGCAGTTTTGTAATTTTGCACACCTACAACTCTTTTTTTTATATACTGACAGAAAAGGAGTCAGTTCCAGGAATAATCAGAAAACTGCTTGTTACTAACTCTTAAGCAGTTTAACTAATGGAAAACTTCTCAAAACCAAGTCGTTTTGTTGTTTTTATTTGGGTTGTTTCTTTGTTTGTTTTAAAGCAACTGGTATTACACATCACATTTCTTCAGGAGATGTAACAAGGTACGACTTCAAATTTTAAATTTAATTGATCGACTTTACAGAGGAACTCAGTGGACTTAGGGGACCACCACCTGAAAATATAGTGCATTTGAAAGGGAGGGGACGACCCACAGCAGCTGCACTAAAGATGAGGAACATCTAAAGACCTTTTCTGAAGTAAATCAACTTTTTCCTTTTCCATACTACTCGGTGATACTGAATAGCTGTAAGATTTGTTATATCTGCATTAGACTAAAGTGATTGCAACTGTTAGTGTTACAACCCATTTTTAATGGGGTTCAATTTTCAATTTTGTGTTCAATTCTTCATTTTTTTCTTTACTGCGAAATTATTAATCAATTGGAATGAGAAGGAGCATTCACAGGAAGTCTGAAGAGATTAACATGGTTTAAAAGAGGGCTTGACATCACTGAGGCAGTTTACGAAACACAGTTACAGGAAGCCCTTTAATTGTTTTGGGTTTACTTTCATCAATAGTCTGTCTGCAGATAACCGCGTTTTTCACTGCTGCATTTTGCAGGCACTGAACATGGTGTAACAGAAATATTATAGATAACAAAAATAACATACTGTGTACATTCGTAACTGAATAGCTTATTCTGATCTTAACCATGACACTCCAGCTTGTAGCTCTCCTGACTGATTCTCTGTAATCAGCAACCAAAGATTTTTCCATTTTTATCAAGATCAGCAAAACACAAACCTACAACCTCATAAGTTTTCTGATAATCAGCTTTTAAGTAGATATTAAAAGTCCAGTTACTAGTTCTGAACATACTTAATCAACCAGAAATCTAACTGGTTTCATATACTACTTGAAAAGGCAATGCATGATTGTAAAATCAACAAAAAATGTTCAAGATTAAGAGAGAGAGAAGGAATGACTACTGACAGAAAAACAGCACTACTGACTGTGCAAGGGCTGTTAAACTCCTGAAGTTAACTATAATCAGCAAGTTGTTATGTTTTTAAAGCTTTCACCTACATTCAAATCACACAAGTTTTTCCATATGTAAATTTGCAAGGAACTATATCTCTTTAAATTTATTTCACCCATCAATTTTTACAGCTTTGCAGTGAGCTGATATTAGTACATTTTAAGTGCAGGGAAACTAGAAGAGATTTAACTTTTTTAAAGCTTTAAACCTCTTAAATTCTTACTAAGGGAAGAAACAGAGTTTTTTTAAAAAAAAGTCTTACCTCCATGTCCTGTTTGTATTTATCTTCGAATACTGCCATAGCTGCTAATGATCCAGAACCTATGGTAACGAAATCAGGACACTTGTTTAGCCAGTGTATTTAGGTACAGTACTTTTTTTAAAAAAAGATAACAAACACCAACAGCACAAACCAGACTGAAGTCTACCTTAGCTTACTATACACTCTAAATCTACCCCTCTAAGTCCGCCACCTAATTTAATCCTAAATTTACAGCTAGAGTGCACAGACTTGCCATGGTCACCCTTCTGACAGCCTTTTTCCTTTTCCTATTTTGAACACTGAGATATGAAAATGAGGTTAGAAAAAGAGTGAACTGCAATGCCACAGTTTGCAATCCCTACTCCTCCGATTCTCCTGCCCCACGTTAGAGGGAATGTCATTTCATACCACGGCACAGAATGCACAGATTGCTTTAACAAGCTGCCCTGGTACAGCCACCTTTGCGCTCGGGGATGAGTAAACTCGCACAGGTAACAGGGCAGCTGGCTGCTGCCATCAGGTGATTTCCCACCTCCACTTTTAAACAGTTTATTATGCATTTCCTTTGTGCCATTATTTTTACATTGCACAGTAACTGAACAGACACAATGACAGACATGAGAACACGAGCTTAACATTCCTTCTCCGCAAGGATGCAGCGCACGCGTGGCAATGGAACAAGAGCCACCTCCACCCAACGCACCGTAACTGCGGGTGCTACCAAGGTGCTTGCCATAAATTAATACAAAAAGCAGTCTGATTCCATCTGAAACTGTAAACTTGCTTTGTTCAGAAAGAGCAAGTCTGAGGGAAGATATCTTTTCTGTCTGTGGCCCTAATCATATTTCAGAGAGCACTACTTTTGGGGAGTGAATAAAGTTACCTGCAATTTTTTACTCCAATTAGAAGATTTTTTGGCATTTATTACTTTTTAACTTGTTTTGCATACTGCTATCTGTTTAGCTGGGTCACAGAGAAAGCCATATTTTCTATTTAAAATGATTTGTGTATATCGCTTGACCACCTCAATGGTTTAGTGAAAGAAAAAGGCAGCGATTAAACAGTTTCAAATGAGGTGTCCTGCTGATTTTATCAAGTCTGCTGAATGTATAATGAAAAAGGAGAAGCTGACAGTGACACTGTTGAGAAAATACAGACTACCTTACCCGAACCATTTAAGGAGGTCCAATTATAGATCAAATTTAAAGGGTAGAAACAGCAGATTTACAGACACAAATCAATGAACATGGTAATCCCAATGAATATGACAGATATTCCTGTTACAGAATATTGCTGTGGTTGAGGATCATTACCTTTACAGTACCAAATACATCACGTCTAAAAGCAGTAGGACACTCTAAGTGTGTACTTGTATCACAGGCAATGACTATTCATTTACACCTTGGAGCAATACACGACTCCATTTTTTAAATGCTGAAACTGGGAATAAAGATTTTTAAGCAACTAAGAGCAGAAATGAACTGCTGATACAAACAGCTGATACCACAGAACAAATCACAAGCAAAATTAATGTTACTGATCCTTCAAACAAGGTCAAAATAAGGTGTGTTTGAAAACAAATACAGGACTCGAACCACAAAATAATTCTTCTTGTGGAACGACATAGGAACGTTTCTAATGAGGGGGGAAAAAAGCACCTCTGAGATACGGTGTCAAACTAAGACCACGTTCTAACTACACTCAAGTGGAGGCCCACCATAAGCAGAACAAGAAGCCTCAAAACTAGGAATACTTGGATAAAGGTTCTTTGAAAAAATTAAGAATACAGAGACCAAACAAAACGTGCAAGAATGAAAGTATAAAAGATAGTATATGACAGAAATTACTACATTAGCTATTGAGCTAAGAAAAAGTGGTCTTAATTTCTTAAAACTTCTACTGAACAATAAAAACTATCAGTAACACAAATATTGCAATAATCTCATACATGGCTCAGACTGGATTCATTTCTCCAGCTCCTTTTCAAAAGAAGTTCCCAAAAGAACCTATAGGCAAGAACTCAGCAGACTTATAAAGAAAAAGGAAAAAGGCAGGGTGGGAAGGTGGGGAACCTTATGTTACATTACATGTATAAAGAATTATACTTTTATTTATTTATTTCACCATGTTACCAAGATGCAAATAAATGTCAAATCTAATACCAACTTTAAATTAATAAATGCAGACAGTCCTACAATGTAAGTTTTCAAAGAATTGCTGAAACTCTAAATTGAATTAAATCTACATGTAGACATTTACATCTGAAAACCAAGATGGCAAGGAGGTTCTAACAGAACAGGAAGTAAAGCTGGACAAGCTGAATAAACTCGTCTGTTTTTTTTCTCTACTGCTTATAAATCCTAACCCCAAGCTTTATAACCCCACATTTGAAAAGAGTGCCTTAGCAAGAGTCTCGCAGCACAGTTCAGCATCCTCTGAAAGAACACGTCTCTGTAGTCATAAACAGCACAATGAAAATTCTTTACTCTTACCAGCACCAGATGTAAACACCTTGTTTTTAGAAACACAAATAGATGTATACTTCCGAGCGTGCCCAGCCAAACAAAACCTGCTGTATGACAACAGCGTTATGAACTGGTTTGAAAATACTCATGATGTGCATGTGTTCACCTGGAGCACATTAACTAAAACCCCTGGCAGCCCTATTTGTGCTGCGGGGGGACTGGAACCCCCTCATGGGACCGTCCAGGAACGCCGGCACGCCGCAGCGGACAGTCTCTCACGAGCAGTTGTGAACTTCACTATCCCATTACACCAACTTCCCTCCACTTGACAAATTCCACATACGATCCAAGCAACCTCACAGTGTTCCAAGCAGTTGAGCTGACTTGTGAAAGCTGTGCATTGTAACAGGAGAGCTGGCAATAAAATCTGAACTGAAGTAAGCATTGGAAGTGTGGTTTTCTTACTGCAGTACCAGTAAAGGCACAGAAAAGTTGGATCTGAGGGTCTGTGGAGAACCTGTTTGTATGTGGGAAACAACTGTTCTCTCGTCCAGGTATTCAGTGCCCACCAATAACTCATTTTCAACAACCAATAACTCATTTTACGTAGAAACAAGCTTAACAAGTCCCAAACACAGGTTCTGGAGGAAGATCAAATCCAGACATTGCAAAACACCATCCATTAATTAGGGATAGATGTTCCCACCCCATACACACAATAACTGATTTAAGTCACTACCGGTTAGGATTCAACATTGCTGAGATACAGCAGTTCAACCTCGAAGCTATTAAAACATGCAGGGAAGCTGTGAGATAACGTGTCATTAAATAGTCCTTACCTGAGCTCAGGTTCAAGGTAATACAAAGCAGATATTTACACCAGATAGAGAACTTCAGTTGGAAACCTTAACACCACACAACCATGCAGAAACAGGAAATTTTCTTAGTTGTAAGTTTACAACTGTTCTGTGTGTGAGCAATAAGGATAGCTAAAGAATAATTGGTAAAGTCATCATGTATTTGTATTATATAACATTCAGGACAAAAAAAACCTTTCAGACAGATTTTTAAAAACCACCAACTGCTGCGAATGGTTCAACAACCCTGGAAACAATCATCAAGAAAAAAACGCCGTATCAATGCCAAAAAATTCTGCATACGCTTTCAGTAAGCTACACTTTAGAAACCAATATCCAGGAAGTATTAAACTAGCATCTAAATATATGAAAATACTGATTGCCAAACAAATTATAAAGAACTATAGAAACTGAGATGCAAAGCTCTATTCTGAGGCAAATGCTTTTCAGTCTGATAATTAGCATGAATCAGGGAAGTTATGAGATTGTAAGAGATTTTTTTTTTCTTCTTCTTCTTTAAGAAACATCAGTCATTTCATGAGCTTCCACAACTAAGTTACTAAAAATTTTCTGGACTCCAATGTAATACACTCACTTTAAAAATCTCATCTAGTCTTTACTTGAACAGTTGCACCACTTCAGTATTGATCTAAAGTGAAATATTATTGACACATAGCAAAAAAAAATCCAGCTGACACTGATTTCCACTGTGTTTTGCAACTACAGTAGCTTTCTAAAACAGATTAACAGATCTTTTTAGCAGAACATTCACCAAAGACAACTTCTTATGGCTAAGCACAGTTCATTTCCATCACCCAAGGACCTGTTTGCTACCCCAGCCTGTCACACTGGAGGATCTACAGAGCCTTGGGAGAGTAACGTTCAGCACTTCCTAATCCATCAGTGTCAGGGCTCCCTGACAGGGCATTTATTCACATGCACTCATTGTTATTCAATTTGCTGTTCATTCTAGGTAAAAATTCAGTGATCTCCACAGCCCCATCGACTGGGATAATTTTTCACCCCAGTTCCTGGCTGAGGGGCTGAGTCCCAGCAGTGGTCCTGCTGGCTCTGCAGGACGACACTGCCAACACATGAGGAGCTGATTTATGAATATGAAGCAACACCAGTACCAGGGGACAAGCTTTAGCCCCAGAGACTACTGGAACATACTTACTGTTTCCAAAAGCTGAACTACAGACTTCAAGTGCTTTAATTTTATGCATGCATTTCATTATAATTCTTGGCCAGAAGCTTTCCTAGGCAAGCCAAGCAATCAGACAATCCTGCATCGTTTGCTGAAATCTGGCTTTGTCCTTTGTCAGCATAAACAGTTTAATCTGATGTTTTCACCACTGAGTAAGCACTGAGTATCTTCTAAGCCTCCCTTGCAAGGGAGGACATCACTCTTTCTGTCCACAAACACACTCCAGCTAAACAAAAAACCCCACATTCTAGCACATTAAAACAAACAAAAACCCAACACCTCAACCACTTATTCTATTTAATAATGAATTTCCAGAAATTAACTGGCCCACAATACCTACCCTGATTTAATAAACTGCCCCTAGAACATTTGGGAAAAGTTAATAGATTGGCCTAAATAAGATCGAAATACAATTCTAACCACTATCTCTGACTTGACCTTTGATACTTTTTCTGCTGTCTCACTTCTATCTTTCATTTATATGCACAAGCTAATCATTTTACTGAAATATATCCTAGTCACTGGAGAAAGTATCAGTGTACCTGGTGTAGAAAGGTAAAGGACATTTCTGCTGAGAAGGGCTTTGTCTGACTGCATGGCCAAGAGCAACACGGAACGACCAGACACAGACCTGGTACAGCTGACAGCAGAGCAAAGTTTAAACTACAATGAACTTAATCATTGATATTCTACTTCCTACTTGTTTGAACTCATTCTGCTACTATGTTATTTTTGTGGAAAAGAGGAGTGGCCAGGATTTTCAGAAATGCCACTGTTTTAAAGCTTTTAAAACACCGGCAGGAAAGTAACCAGGTACATAATGGAAACTGTGTGACTTTATTCAGGCAACCAACTACCAGCAGCTATCAGCAGACAGTCAGTTATAGTTCTGCAGTTTACTACAGTATTATATAAAAAAAGTAAGTGTCCGATTCTTGATTCAAAGGCTAAACAATGACATCACACGACCGTTACACGATTTCATTTGCCCGGGAGGTGTGTGCCAGTTCCAAAGGAAATGGCACCATCTGTAGGTCCAGCACCGCCTCTGCAGAATTTCTGTGCGTTAACCACGGTTCCTGCCATACAGTTCATCAGACCATTCAGTTCAACAGCTGCACTGTTTCAGTAGGGCAAAGATCCAGAAGAAAAAGAAAAACCTTTAACATGTCCAAGAATATAGTAAGTAGGTGTTTTATCTGGACCATGAACAGAAAAAGATTAACTAAAATTAAAGTTATGTTTTCCCACCAGAGAATCAGCATAAAAGCTGCATCAGGCATAGGCTGAATCTGATTTACTAATCTGACACACTTCATTTTCAGAACAATTTCCTTTTCTGATATATTTATTTGGACTCTACACTACACTTCCGTAGCTCTAATGAAACCAAGTTTTAACTTAAAATCATCCACGTCTTCAAAATAAAACAAGTCTAAATGATACAGTGTCTTCTTGAGCAGAGAGCAAAAATAATCACACCCTAGTTATGTCTGGAATTTTACTTTTTCCAGATATACAATATTCTCAGCAGAGCAGTAACCTCAAAAGCCACAGATGAAACTGCACAAGAATATTATTAGCTCAGAAGGCACTAGTTTCATCTCTTACTAGTGTCTCAGTGGTACCTCTTACCATTTTTCACCCTTCACTCCCAGATTATTGCCTATAAATCACAAAAGAACTCAGAACTAATCAAACAAGCTGACGCTACTATTGAAAATACTCCCTTTGCCAAAGGTCAGGCAAGTTCCATAATATTTCAAGATGTGGGTGTCCTTCCTTTCAACACTGCATGTGTTATTTCCCTTCTCAGAAACACACAAGGATGACGGTGAGCACTAAAGCTCTCCTGCACATCACAAAGCTTATTACAGCTTCTTACTCCAGGATTCTTACAACAAAGCCTCTCCAAGCATCCCTTAATGATTAAAAAACAGAACAAGACACCTAAAGAAACAATTTTATCTAGAGGACACGGACAAAGAACAGCTAGAAGACACAGGAGGAACGACAAGTTAAACTCATAAATCAAGACTCAATACGACTGATGACTCTGTATTCTGCAAATACAGTGTCTTCCTGAACACACTCATAAGAGGCCTCTGGGTTGTTCAGCAAGACCACAGGTAACAAGGGTATATACTCAAGAGCCATTTCACAACTTGAAATTATTGCTGCTCCCAGCAGCACTGAGGAGTTCAGGAATTTAGTTGTCTCCTGTAGATATTCTTCATCTTCTGTATAACTGGGAAGTAACGGCGCAACGTTTCTGCTTTTTAAGTGAGAAAGACAAGATGCTTCAGAAAAGCTACCTATGATTTGCATTCTGCTACGACACAGTACGTATTTCCATGTTATCCCATACTCTTGTTTACAGTTGAAAAAACAGCAAATAACATATTTACCAAGACTGTGTTCTACAAAATATCCTGAACATGCTTTTGTAATCGGTTTTGACAGGGTAGTACCTAAATGCCAAAAAAGCATGCAAAAACTCTGCGGTTTCAGCTTTCAAAATGATCACAATCCCTAATTTGATACTGAACGAGACATACAGAACTTCATGCACCCACAGCTCAGATTACTGCCACTACAGAAAGTGTTACACAGACAGAAGAGTTGGGGCACTAACACTTAATGACCTGATGGTGGGCTACTAATGTCAAGCTGACCCCAGCAGTAGACAGAATTAAACTTCTTTATTGAGAAGCTCCACACAGTAGTTAAGACCAAATATTACATGCAGCAAGTAAACCAGGTGTTGCTTCACTACAATGAAGCACCTTCTTGAGTAAAATACAGCTGTTACCTGGCAAGACATACAGAAGTGTGACAGTCCCAAAGGAGAAGCAAGGTGCAGTTTTTCCTAATGAAGCTACAGAAAAACTTCAGACAGAAAGTAATTCCCCAAGGGAGACTTCATGTGAACCATGAGTTAGGACTGTCTGCAAACCTAGTTTCTAAGGATTTTGTTTTTCTTTCTACAGTAAGTTTTTGGGAATCCCACAATTCTCTGGCTTTAAGGTATGCTGGAAAATGCACACAACAACTTTTCTAATACCCTTTTTTTGCCAGCTTAGATTTAAATACTACAAAAGCCCATGGTTTTGAAGTAGTAGAAGAAAAACAGAACAGTGCATCTGCCTTATAAATATGGGTACAACTTTATCTTTGAAGTCTGAGGTCTGTACAGCTCCCAGCAAACAATGGAATTTAAGTAAAGCCACTTTAAATAATAATTTGAAACGTTCACCCTTTTTAGCAGTGTTACAATACTGAGGGAGTATCACTTACCCATGGTAACGTAAGGCAGTTTGTCAGTTGATCCGTGGGGATATATGCTGTAGAGGTGAGGTCCTGTGACATCTACTCCCCCCAAAACCAGGGCAGCACCAATGTAGCCTTGATACCTAGGAACAATGTTTGCATGTGACTCAAAGTCCACAATAAAAAGCTGTGATTCTTTTTAACACAGTGTATGCATTTGAGATTTTTGCCATGGTTACACCAGGTACATCTCTGTAACAGAAAGACTGATTTTACTACCTGTGAGCAATAGTTTAAATTAAGAATAAAACATGGTATATTTAGGTATATAATATATATTAGGTATATTAGGTACATAATATATATATTCATGGTATATTTAGGTACATTTAGGTATATAAGACTCAGCTAGGTCTTTTAACAGCATTGTTAATAAATAAGAAATTCCTTTGGTTACCTGAAAAGCATTTGCTTTAGCATCCGATTAGCTGTGACAACTCTTGGAAGTCGTCCAGTAGAGAGCGAGTGGAGTTCCAGATTGGAAGAAATCAGTTGAGTTGTCATATCAGTATCTGCAGCAGTTCCTGCACCGCAACAACTGAAAAACATTACGAGCCACTTAGGAAAAGGCGGGGAGGGCAGAGGAGACAAATAACTCTCAGCTTTATCCAACAAGTAGAAATTTTCTCATCGTGAAACTGAGGAAAGTAAGTTCTCACACCATCAGTATTTCCAGAGCATGAAACAAGATAGTCTGTTTAATTAGATACGAAACACCAAAAATCCCCAAGCCTTGCTAAGAAATTAAGTCATCATTTTAAAGCACACCTTAACATTTGCTGTTAGCAAAGACCACGGCTAAAAATCCCAATGCCATTTCCAATCCCAATGCCATTTCCAATCCCAATGCCATTTCCAATCCCAATGCCATTTCCAATCCCAATGCCATTTCCAATCCCCTCACCCAACAAACAATGTTAAAACTTACTAGATATTAGGGGAAATGAAGTGTATTTTCGAACAGTTCTTGTCAGCAACGACCATTCCTTCAGTCGCTCTCGTGTCTGCTCCGAGGACAATACCATCCTGAAGGAAGACAGGATTATCCCAGAGCGGGGCCGGGGGAGCGGGGCCGGGGAGCGGCTCCGCACAGC